CAAGAATGCGGTGGAGGTGCGCAACTTGTGCATGTATACATGTTGTATTGCACACACGCTAATGGCTCGTTCAAATCGGGGAGTCGTGTTTTTGTGTGGTTGGCGATCACCCGCGACGCCCTGGAATCCCCAAACCCTCTCGATTTCTTACCTAACTGTAATTTAAAACTCGAAAATTGGACCGGAAACCGTGGCAATTTAACTTTATCGCGGTGTTAATGCTGATGCTGCAACTTCAACGCGTGACTAAAATAATAAAAAAAAAAAAAACTTATACAATATATTAAATTACTATATGAGTCGAGCACCGTTCGACGTTGTACTAATAATTTACAGATTGCTCCAAAGCCGTGTGCAGCGGACCAATAAGGTACTACGAGGACTTAAAGTGCAAACCAGTTTATCGAGCCGAAGGTGACAAATGCTGTCCTCTGCGATACGATTGCTCCCATCTCGATCAAGTGACGGACAAGTGCGTGGCAAATGGTCATATTTACGATATAGGGCAGAAGCTGAAGGAAAACGATCGTACCGATCCTTGTTACTTCGATTGTGTTTGCAAGAAGGAAGGTTATAGGTAAGTACTTTGAAAACAAAAATCATACAGTAATTTGCTTGGTTAATAATTACGATTGCTTACAATTCAGGACAAAGTTTGAATGCGCTGAGCCGGATTGTACGTTGATGAAATCGATGAAAAGGGGATGCTACATTAAAAAAAAGATGAACACGTGCTGTGAGATGAAAAGAGTTTGTCGTAAGTATATATTTGACGTGGATGATCCTCAGAAGTATAACGTAGATGTGATTTTATTGGATTTTTCGTTCCAGCACATACGGTCTTAAAGTTTCTGAATGTTAAATGCCACTTTGAAGGAAACAAATACTATGAGGGTGACACATTTACTCCTGCCAACCAACCTGGAGTCTCTTGTCAGTGCGAGAGAGGATTCAAAGGTAATAACGTTATTATACGAACGTGTTTCATATTTCTTTACATTTTTGAGTTTTAAATAAAATATTTCTGTACATACGCGATGGTAGGAAAAATCGTCGCTCCGTACTGTAGAAATAAAACATGTGGAAACGAATTCCAATACATGCATGAAATTCGTCACAATTGTGCTCCTGTCTTTCCTGATTATAATGATCTATTGAGCTCTTGCAATTTTAAATATAAGTGTCGTAAGTATTTTATTAATTTTTTTTTTTTAATGGAATGCAAGTCAAAATATTTTTAAATTTTTCAGCTGTGGGTAACGAGAAGGTTGTGAGAGAGGGCACAGAAAATAACGGTAAGAATACAGTTTTAGCCTTTCATTGCGCCAATTGTGAGTAATTCAGTAGACATATTGAACTTAACAATCAATCATTGTGATTATGAATATCCATCATGATGTATTCACCAATAATGTTTTTTTTTTTTAGGAGATAACGTCTGCACTTTCGGTGCATTGAAACTTTCGATTGGAGACAAACTTCAGCAGAATCAAGGTTCTCGTGACTGCCTTGACTGTAAATGTAATTTACCTCCAGCACTTACTTGTATTGAAAATTACATATGTATTCGAGAAAAAACATTGCATGACGATTAAGAAGTTAAGAGGATTAAGAAGATTAGGAGAACGAAATGAAACTTTATTTTTTCAACATAAGAAAAAAAATACCTCTGATAAGTGCGTACGGATGCATCCACACAGTATCGATTATCCTTAAAAATAAATATTTCTCTGATCCCAGTAACCAATGTCAAAAATTTCCTGGCCCTCAGCGTAGATTGTGCTTAATCTTCAATTTATTTGAACAGTTTCTTCTTTATCTATCCTAAAAGAATCAGTAATCAGTATCACGTGACTGCTGACAGTGCCGACAGAATACGTCGTGATCTGATTGATCATGAGTGACGAAAGGTGGTACATTTAAATGTGCATATGAGATTGAGTAGACAAGTGATGAAAAAATTTTGTTTGCTGATCCTCATAGTAGCTTGGGTGAAATATTTAAGATTTTACCGTAATTAGGTTGTAATATTAGGATTTTTTAATTCCTGAAATGGAGTTTCTGCATTATTTCGATAACAAAATTTTGTCTGATTTTTAAAAGAACTACTTAAAGGGGTGACAGCATTTTTTTTTTAAGTTATACTAATTTTATTTTAGCATCATTTAGATTTTTTTTTTATTGAAATGTAACCTTTTTTTGTAAAAGTCAGTCATATTATCCTTTAAGATTCTATTGATAAATTTCAATAATCCAAGGCTTACAATATGTATATTTTTTGTTTTAATAGAGATTTCGTAAAAACTACATCTCACACATAGTAACAGATTTTCTTATAAAATAAAAAAAATATTACAATGCTATATGTATGAGATATGAAAAAGCAAAGAAGGCATGACTATGAGTAATAAAATTTAAAAAAGCTTACAACTAAAAATGAAGTTTGAAAAAAAATCGTCAGTTAGGTAAAAAATTTTTCCATAAACATCCGTTAAGGTAAATTAAATGAAAAATCAAGATAACTATTATTAGTACAATTTATTACTTTTAATTAATTAGCTGGTGGTTAATATTTTCCTCATTTATTTAACTAGTCTCGTCATATTTACACATTACACCAAAACATTTACGACAAAAATAACAATCTCTTTCCGAATTCAGTAGAAAAATAGTGTACTTATCAAATTCTACGTAAAAAGGGTATAACTCAAATGAAAATTAAATTCACACATGTTTTATCGTCATACATATCTATCAACAAGATTGTAGCCGTTTTTTTCTACAAAGCCAACATTAGGGCGATGGGAAAAAAGTTTTGTAATTATCAGAAACTCCGCAATATAACATAGATATCCCAAGTTTAAGTGAAGGTATTTCCATTCTCATTTTCAATGTAAGTAAGATAAGCTTTAAGCAAATATGACATTGTCATCTCAACAATGTCATTTTTCAACTGAGCTGATGTTCCGTAAGTCACATAAAGTTGTTTGGACAGCATCAGCGATAGTCTCCCATTTTTATCACCCAACTGTGAATTATGTTCATAAAACCAAAAACGAATGAACGTCATCAATAGGTATATCCATCTTATTCTTGATAGTAAAACAACTACTAGGTTTTGCTTATAAAGAATTATCTTATCAGTGTTGTGCAGTGAAAGAATCTTCCTAAGGATGTCAAAAATAACGAGTACTCTACCTACCGTTTTAGCAGCATTACTTGTTATACTTATCGGCAATGGTATGTTTTAATTAATCATACAATATTTATTTCTAAAATTACTTCGTCATATGAGAATAAACATAATTAGAAAAGCCATTGTATGTCTTCGCACATGTATAGTAAATGTACCTTCCTGCATAAGTATGTAAAAACCTAGGCATTCAATATACTATGACGAACTAAAGCGTATAGTTATTAAGGTTTAGATGGACTCCAATCCCTCTTTCCAATAACAACAATGCCCAAAGATATGAAAAAGTACTGGTACGAAGGTTGTTAAAAAATTCAAAGCGGCTTACAGCATTGTAGCTTATTCGGGAAATTATTGAGCAGCGAACATTATTTCCTTATAATTACCTTCATTAACGTAAAAAATAGTAGAAAACCTAAAAGTGGCGTGCCTTGTTTCCAGCTCAAGATATACCCACTATTACATTCCGTTGTTTTTTGTACTTGGACTGAACTTCTTCGCACGTTATCTTCATGTTTGCTTGATGGGAAAAAACGTGCATGATATTTGAACGATAGGTTCAGATATATACTTTTATGATTATGTACAATTTTTATCATTGCAATACACTTTAAAATATAATGTTATTTTCGTAGGAGTTATTCATCTGTAACATAGAGTCATTGCCTTGCAATAGGTATCAATGAGAAATAATAAGTCCACCATTATTTGACCAATAGGAAGCTACCTCTATCTATTATTTGCTGTTAATTTTTGAAGCTAGAGGTTGTCAAATCAGTAAACAATATTTTTACTGGCATGTTACTTTGATACGATGTATAAAATTTATGGATTAAAAAATTGTTCTTTCATTAGGTAAATTCTATTTAGGAACTTTATTTAAGTTCATAATTATATTTAGTTTTCACTAGTATGCATTGGCTAATATAACTGTAGTTACTGGCACTGCGGGTGATAGCACTATTGTATCAGCAATACGTGGTATACTAAGACAGTCTGATTTTTTCCCTTAAAACAAAATAGAAGGTAAAGTAGGTGGTCATTTTGTTCCTTATGTACAGTAAATATAAAAATTCCATGAGTTAGTCTAAAAATTGATGATGGATTTGTATGGATTAAAATTTTTTTACTGAAAAATGTTCGTGATTCACATATGTTAACAGGTCTCACTGTAGTAAAAATATAAGGTAATATAGTGAATCGGGTATGATCAAAAATTAAGTATGCGTTAGCCAAGTAAATTGTTATATCTAAAAACACAATCGATTCACATATGGTTACATTCTTAGATCCTGAGATATAAAGTGCTTCTGTAAAGCAGACATGGCTATAAATTAGGTATGAGGAATGGAAAATACAACAAATGTAGCTTAAATTAGGGATGAAAAAATCTTAAGCCAAATAAGAATTATTTTGATGAATACTATAGTTCAATTTAAACAATAACAACGATCAACATAATAACGTGATTTTTTATTAATTACCTGGTAATTGAAATTTTTTTAAATTTGTCTTAAAAGCCTTGCAGTTTACATGTATCATAAAAAAATAATTACGACGAAAATAAATTCCTTTTCCTCATTTAGTAAAGAAATAATGTGTTTTACGAATTCTACGAAAAAAAGCGTGTAATTCTAATAATGATTCAATTGGCAAATATTTTAGGCCTCGTACATCTTAACCTATCGACAAAATTATAGATGTTTTTTCCTACAAAACCAATATTGCTTAATGTTTTTCAGACTTAGCTGCTGTTCCATAAGTCACATAAAGTTGTTTGGACAACATCAGCAATAGTCTCCCATTTTTATCACCCAACTGTGAATTATGTTCATAAAACCAAAAACGAATGAACGTCATCAATAGGTATATCCATCTTATTCTTGATAGTAAAACAACTACTAGGTTTTGCTTATAAAGAATTATCTTATCAGTGTTGTGCAGTAAAAGAATCTTCCTAAGGATGTCAAAAATCACGAGTACTCTACCTACCGTTTTGGCAGCATTACTTCTTATACTTATCGGCAATGGTATATTTTTAATCATTTATAAGAAATTTATTTAATAAATAATTTCTAAACATAAAGATATATGATATAAGTATCCATTGGTAATAGTTGTATATTTTACAAGAAAGATATGTTAAATGAAGAAGACGTGTTCAAAATTTGATATTAAATGAATGTTTAAAAAGTTTTTCACACTTTTTTCGTTGAAATCATGACATACTTCAAGTAATAAGCTATGACTTGTGTGACTGTTAAATACATGTACTAATTTTTTTGAACTCACATATAAAAATCAAGAGCTTACACATTTTAAGTGAGACCCTTTCTTTTATGAAACGGCTATATCTTTCTAAATATTTAGCGTAGGAATTTATATGATCTTATTTTTTCTGTTTTACTAACATTTAACTTCATAAAAATTTCAATTCAATCTTTGACAAAACAGTCTAACACATGTTCTTAGTAGTAGATTATAACAGTGTTATTATTTTAATAATTTTTTTTTCTGCTGCTACTATAAAAAAAAGCTAGTACGTGGCTTGCAAACTTATTTATTATTTTGCTTAATTCTTTAACATAAAAATCTTTAAAATACGATTTTTTGAACTCTAGCTCATATTGTAAAATGAAAAGTAAATTTCATCTCTTACATACAGTACATGGGACCCATTGGTGTATTAATGTGGGCTGACATTAAATGTTCAGATAGTCTCTATTGATATATTTCTTTAAAAAATTAAGAAAAGATAATTTTTAGGATATATTATTGTAATCATACAACGATTAACAAACGTTATATAGCTTAAATGACAGCATCAAAAAGACAGAAACAAGCTTAGTATCATAAATACTTGTTTTTAGCTGAAAGTTACCAGATGTAGAAGCGAATGACAAAACATTTAGTTTCTATTAATTTTATCTAATGACTTTCAACTACTTTCCTTAATTTATGTTCAAACATCTTAACGACTCTTAGTTTTTAAATTTATCATTTTATTACATGACTCACAATTATCCAAAAAAATATGCTTCAAGTCTTAGAAAAAATTTATCAAAAAAATAATAAACAGCTTTTATTATTTTACTTACTGAATTTTAGCTGCTGCTTTAGAAACAGAAAACATTTTTGGTAATTGGCCAGGGATAGGAGAAAAAGTTAAATATCAAGTATCCGTACAAAATGAGAAATATCACGAGTGTGGTGGTACACTCATTGCACCAGATCTAGTTTTGAGTGCAGCACATTGCTTTTTTAATAAAAAAACACACGTTCACTACAATAAGCCATACTTTGTTGTTGCGGGGACTTTGAATACGAGCGATCACACTTACAGAAGACCCGTAAAAACAATTTACATTCATTCAAAGTATCAAAATGACAACAACACGCCCATTTTGAATGACATCGCTCTTTTAAGGGTAAATATTAATTCCACAAATACTTTATAAATTATCAGAATTTTTCTTCTGATACTAAAAGTAACTGTGTTCATTTTTCCTAGCTTTCAAAAGGGTTCGATGT